ATATTAATCTTAAATAATTAAATGTAGTATTTTAAACTTCAGCCTCTTCTAGCTTGAGGGAGACTGGGGCTGGGATTCGTTTCATAAGATAGAAGGCCCAGAAAAATAGCCAATGGGACAAGGCTGGTGGGCCTGATCAATCAAATTTGCTGGCCCGGGCAGGCTTGGACAAGCTGGGGGACGGAAAACAACCAGGCCCATTAAAGCTTGTTGGACTGGGCTTGGTGGACAAAAAAAAAACCCTTACAGACCACCGATCGGTTACGTTACGTCATAAATAAATTAATTAACCCCTCCAAAATTCGAGTACAAAAATAAAAATAAAATTTATTCCCTTAATTTCTTTGATCCTTTGCTTCGTCTTCGTCGGCGATCGAATCTGAAGAGATGGACGATGAATTACTGGAACTGCAGAGGCAATTTGAGTTCGCGCAGCAGGCGAAATCGAGCATCCGATTATCGGAGCGGAACGTCGTCGAGTTAGTTCAGAAGCTCCAGGAGCTTCACATCATTGACTTCGAGCTTCTCCACACTGTCTCCGGCAAAGAATACATTACTCCGGTATGACTCATTTTCTTCTCATTATCTGTTTGTTTCCGAGGAAAATGAGAGAAGATAATTGCGATTAGCGTAGTTGTGTTAGCGATTCCGTGGATTGGTGTAGAAATTTTAACCTCTAGAAGATAACGAATTAGTATCTCTGTTTTTTCTGCGATCTGATTTTCATTCCGGTATCAAATGTTGAATATACAAATGCATGCAATGCTAAGATTTTCATTTTTTTTTTTTGAAGTATTTTGTGTTTTTTTGTTTGAAATTATTTGAATGTTCCATGTATCAGTAGAAAATACGACTATTTGTGATTCTATAATTGAACGAATTATACAATGGTTATGATCTATGTACTGTAGGAGCAACTGAGGCATGAAATTGTGGCAGAAGTCAAGAAGTTAGGCCGTGTCTCTTTGATTGATTTGGCAGACACTACTGGAGTTGATTTATATCATGTAGAGAAGCAAGCTCAACATGTAGTGTCAAATGATCCAGGGCTCATGTTCATTCAAGGAGAAATAATATCACAATCTTATTGGGATTCTGTAGCTGAAGAAATCAATGACAGGCTTCAAGAATGCAGTCAAATTGCTTTGGCGGAGCTAGCTGCACAATTACATGTTGGCTCTGAGTTGATGGCTTCTATTTTGGAGCCTCGCCTTGGGACTTTGGTAACTTCAATTTTTTTTTTTTTTTTCTTAGGTCGTACTCGATGTGATTTTAAGAGAACAAAAGAAGAAATTTTATGATAATGGTTTCTTTGTCTATTAGGTGAAGGGTAGGCTTGAAGGTGGGCAACTCTACACACCGGCATATGTTGCACGTGTTAGTGCCATGGTTCAGGGTGCTGCCAGGGGGATCACAGTTCCAACAAATTTGTCGGTGTTGTGGAGCACTTTACAGCAGCTATTACTAGAAATGGAAGGAGGTAGCGGTGTAGCTGTTGAAGGTTCATTCTTTCAATCCCTTTTTAATGGCCTGGTGAAGGAAGACAAGGTTCTTGGAATGCTTCGTGCAGGGGTTCATTGGACTCCAACAGTATGTGATATAATGCTGATTCCTTTTTTATTTCATCTAGACTAATACCATAGAAATAACAAGTTCTAGCAGCTGATAGTTTCCTTTTTATTCTATTTTACCCTACTTTACTAGTGATACTTTCCATCTGCAAAGCATCTCTGTTTCCTTGCATGTAAACCGCGGGGTTTTTTTTCTTCTGTTTTTTATTGTATTAGTCTCAATAACTTCGCTGATCTTATAATTTTGATTCTCCTTTTGAAAAGTTGTTGTTCTAATTAGTTAGCAGCTTGTTATGTTTGTTCTTCCAACTAGATCCGGCAAATTTTGTCTTCTTTGTTTGAACTTCTAAAATTTAGCATGTTGTGGTACAGGTTTTTGCTCTTGCACAAAAGGAATGTGTAGATTCATTCTTTTCACAGGTTTGGAATCTTACCCTACTGATGTTGTATGTTTAGTGTCTATTAAAGAAGCCTACATACAAAAATAATATATCATACCAAAGAATGAATTGGTTACATATAATGTGTAAATGAAATGAACCTCAAAACTTCATATGAAGTTTAATGTCACTGTCTTACCACAGAACTCTTAAGCCTTTGGTGTCAGAAACACCTCATTTTGTATAAAATGAATACTTTTGGCCTACAATTTTTTTTCTAGCATGCAATATGAACTTGAGTTAAATGTAAAGGAAAGGAGAGGAGAATGCATTATTATAAAGACTCAGTATGTTCTGGTTGACTTTGGAAAGGAATGTGATAGGCCAAGAATAGTAGATTTTTTGAGTGGTCTGGAAGACCTTTTTTTCCTTTGAGTTATGATTGAATATTGGACCTTGATAGATCTTAATGTTAAATTATTAGTCATATACTGCATTGCCTTTTTTTTGGTTTGGAAGATAGAGGTTTTAAAGTACTTCTAACATTTCTGTTATTCTCATGGTTTCCCTTCTGCCTGCAGAATTCTTTTATCAGCTATGAGGCTCTGCACAAACTTGGAATTTCTCAGCAAGTTCAATTTTTGCAGGTAATTTTTTTTTGGTTGAACTTTTAAGACCATTGACTTTTTGAAAATAATTATGCTGACCTTGACAGTGTTTCTTTGGTTTTTATTGGATTTTTTTTTTTTATGCTCCAATTTAGTCCAGGTATCCTGAAGGCATACCTTTAGTTACTGTATTTGTTCACCCCTCGATGATTGAGATGTTGGATTCGGCTATTGAGGATGCCATTGATCGTGGTAGCTGGTAAGGACTAGACATGAGTTTCCTTTCCCTTTTATTGCTTTTTTTTTTTTCTCTCTTTTCTTTTTTTCTCCCTTTGTTTACTGGTATAATTGGCTGGTACACTGCAGGATTGATTCTCTTTCTGTGTTGTCCGCATCTTTTGGACTCCAAGATGCATCTAAGATTTTGTCCAACTGTCCTTCTCTTCACTCAGCCTTAAAGGTGAAATGTACTCTGTCAGTTTCATCAGCTACTTGTTTATTAGTGTTATTGTTATTATATTCACATAAATATTGACTTGTTTTGTCCATCTTTTCAGGCTAATAAAGCACTCATCCTGGGGGATTCATATATTTTTAGCAGTGGCTTTGTGAAGGTACTGCTTTTGATATTTACTTTGGCTGCCTTTTTAATATTTAAGTCAGATTAATTATTTTATACAGAAACCACCTGTTACTGAAGTGTTGCCCATCAACGATAACAAACTATTTTTAGCCTTAAGACCCTTGCCGCCCCAAATTAGTGATATTGAAATGGACTAGACTAGACCACCTCTGAGATACGCAGATTTACTTATTCATATTTTCTCTGACATGTGAAGGTTAATGAACAACTTTTTGCTGGCATATCAGTTATCACATTACTGTTTATAGTGTCCATATTGTTTGTCTACATTCTGCATCATATTCATTTTATTTTGGTGAGGAATGAGGACATCACCATTTTGGTTTCAGATAAGGGCATGTGAATTCTAGATTTGCATTGTCTCCAGCATTATATCTGTTATATTCTTCTTTGAAATTCTGATGCCTGCAAATTTTCTCTTCATGGGTAAGGATGTCTATGATCGTGTGGAGAAAGAGCTCGAAGCCTTAAGCCTTTCCGGGTCTTATGGTACTGTCCAGGGTGGTGGCTCACATCTAACTAAGGAAGCCAAAAGTGGAAATGATTCAAACAGGTTTTCTGAGCAAACAGAAACTGCTAGTGAGAGTGGCAACAGCAAACGAGGTGTCGAGAAAGGATCAAAGAAGAAAAAGGGTAAATCCTCTGGGGCAAAAGTGACAACAACTGAAGGTGATTCAGAAAACGAGGATTATATCCCTACCAAATCTAAGAAAAGCCAGAAGAGAGGGAAGGATACATCTTCCTCTCAAGTGGCAGATGCAAAAGCAGGAGGTAAGAGAGATTCAGGTAAAATGCAAGAGGAAAATGTGCCTTCAGAAGAATGGGTTATGCAAAAGCTTTTGTTTCTGGTTCCTGATTTTGAAGAACAAGGTCTGTTAAGTTTTAATATACATCTGTTGTACTCTACTGCTATGCTAATCAGGCATGAATTCTGAGTCCATATTTGATTGATTTGGTTATCTGATTTGGCAGGTGTTGATGATCCCCAAATAATTCTTGGACATTTAGCAAACTATATCAGACCTATGTTGATTAATTATTGGAAGCAGAGAAGAAAGGCATTGTTTACAGAAAATGCAGAGAAAATGAGACATTTGCTTGATAATTTGCAAAGGAAACTTGATGAGGTTGGCATAATTAGATTTGCCTCTAGGATTTGCCTATATTTTCATTTAAAGAAAAGAAGAAACCAAATTAATATGTATTATTTCTCTTGGAAATGTTTATTTTCCATTTGTTGCTTTTGTGCCTTTGATGTGCTAAATCCCTTCTGTTTTTTGGTTGTTGGCTCTCTGGTAGTCTTTCTTGAACATGCAGCTTTATGAAAAAGCATTAGATTTGTTTGAAGATGACCAGTCAACTTCTGTAAGTTCTTGCCACACTGGCTGAGTTTGAAGAAGTTGCTTTTGGTGATGAAGTTGGTAAAAGAAAGGCTTATTTGTGCTTTGCAGGCTATTTTGCATAGGCATTTATTGAGAACAACTGCTGCTTCTATTTCAGATATGCTCTTTCTTAACTTGGTAGAACTTGTTCATTCTTCTTGTCTGTTTTCTCTGCTCTATTGACCATATTACACTGATTTTAAACTGGGGTAATCTTAAGTGATTAATCCATTGCAGGAAAAACACAACAAATTGAAAATTGGAATTGAAGTTGAAGAGTCTCAAAATTCAGAAAGTGTAATACTAAGCTCTGGAGAAAGGATTGCCATTGTATGAGATGATTTGTACTTTATTTTATATATATGTGGACAAAATTAGAATTTCTCAAGAAGGTTGTATAGTGGTAATATTTGATTTCCTATATTTCCTTTTGTCTGTTCAGGCAAAGAGTTTCCCAGGATCTCTGTCAAAGAAGGCTCTTGTGGTTGCTGAAACTTTGGAGGGGAAGGTCATTCTTATTTATCATAAGAAGTGTATTTATTTTTTGAGATTTATCATTAAAGATATGGTTTCTTTAACATCCTTGCTGATTTTCTTTGGGAAAAACCTGATTGTTTATTTGTCCTCTTGATTGAAGCCATGTTCTTTGTTTCTCCTCTCTCCTAGTGAAGTTAGGCTGTGATTGTAGTGTTTAAAAGTTAGTCAATTTCTTTTTTTTTTCTTTTTTCTTTTTAAAGTCATTTAACTTTAAGATTCTTTTTTTTTTTTTTTGATGTCTCCTTTTGTTTGTGTTTATTATTTCTATTAACCTCATGTAACATTTTATTCTGGCTTCATGGTTTTTTACTTCATAATTCTTCTGTGGTTCCTTATCCTTCTGTGTTTTATTTTTCAAGAAAAATTTTTTGGTACATCAGATGATAAAAGCTATATAACAAGGGATAGCCCTCCCCTCTCCAAACCTCTCACCACCCATCCAAAAATTCAAATTTGAAATCTCCAATATGGAGGCTCAAGTTCTTAACCACTAGGACGTCCCCTAGGTGACATCTTTTAAGAAATTTTTGACAAAATACTTTGCAGCTATTATGGTTCTCCTACAGGTCATGTGAATTGTAGATAACTGTAGAGTTAAAAAAATTATGTGTTTCTACTAGTTTATTCTATCACTGTGATTGTTTTAATAATTTTGATATGAATTCCTTATTTCACTTGTTGCTTTTGAATATACTGCCATGACTTTTCACTTAAGAGGTTCTCTGTAACAGCGGGTAGAGACATTCATGACCGCTCTGAGGGAGCTGGCTGAGGAGAGGTAAATCTCTCCTTTGTGTTATTTTCTCCTTGTTGCACGTGTATTGCCTTTGGGAGAATTTACTGACCATGCACAACTAACATTTTGGCATCTGTCTAAGCAGTGGATTACTCTTGAAAAAGCTAGACAAAAAATTGGAAAGAACTCTTTTGCATTCGTATCGCAAGGTATGCCTCGTATCATTTTTCAATTGCAATTGTTTATTTTCATGGATACACTTATATTTCTTAACACTTTAGCCATATCTGTACTCCCAACTAAGGATTTATGTCGTTAAAGTGGGAAAGAGATCATATGTGACTAGGGTGGTATGTCACATCTTATCTTAATTAATAACTACTCGTTCAATGGTTTGAAAATGATAATTCCACTTGGATATCATGGAGATCTAAACCTGTTCTGTAGCTGTTAAACTTGTCTCAATGATATTTTTGTCTTTGTCAAGGTCTTGATCTGATTGATGGAGACATTTGTTTTTTTCTGTGGTTGACATAGAAATTAATAGACAGCTTGATATGTCTGATTGAGCTTCTCATGTGAAAATCCTTGTCATATCATTTTCAGGATTTGATTTCTCAAGTTTCTGCTGAAACTGATCCAATTTCTCTTCTGCCAAAAGTTGTTTCATTACTTTATATACAGGTAGGCTGATTGAAATTCCTACAAAGTAGTACCCTGACCATCATTTCACTGGATTCTAAACATGAATTTCTTTAATATCAATAGGTTCACAATAAAGCTCTTCAGGCCCCTGGAAGGGCCATCTCTGTTGCTGTAAATCGACTGAAGGTATTGATCACAGTAAAAAAAGGATTGCTCTCTCTGTAGTCTGCTAACTACATGCTTGCTAGATGCTTCACCAATCATGTCAATTTTCTGGCTGTGTGTCTCATTTTCAGGACAAACTAGATGATTCGCCATACAAGATCTTGACAGATTACCAAAGTACAACAGTGACACTTCTAGCACTTATGTCTGCTGCTGCTGGCAATGTGAGTATAATTACACAATAATTTTTCATGTCTCGACATAACTGTTTAATTTACCTGGTAGGCAACATCTACCGTAAAGGGGCCGCTACATAGTGAGTTGGGGGGGAAGGGGAGTCTGACTCGAATTTAGTTTTTGATGATCATTTCATATTTTCATGCAAAGCTGCTTCCCCTACTGCTTCTTTGAACTGTGAAACAGTGTGTCTTTTCTTCTTATATGTTGAACATCATGCAATGTTTTTTCACCTTTTAGGAGGATGATTGCTCAGCTGATAGAATTTTGACTAAAAGGGAGCTTCTGGAGAGCCAAATGGTCGCACTGAAAGGCCTGGTCTTGGGCCCCTCACAGTCGTAAGGGATACGATGGGATCTGATATTAGACTGGCAGTTCTCCCATTTCTACCAGAAAGCTTAACTCGAAGGCTGGAAAAGTTCTTTGGTTTCGGACTCCAACCTTCTTGAAATCTTCCTTTCAAAGTTGTACAGTAGCTGTTTCAGAACAGACTTTATAATTTTAAGGCACAGGGAAATTGGACTGAATTAGGCTTTGCACAATCTAAAGCGTTGATAATGAACATAACATCTATTCTTACTAATACAAGGCTAATTTTTCATGCAATGAATTGAATCGATATTCATATCTAGTTTTATTTTCACCATAATTAACAAATCATCAGGATCATTTTACGCATAGACAACAAGATGGTAACAGCAGCATTTATTTTCAACCTTATGCATCTGAGTACGAAATAGCTTATTGCGATTCTCTGCACAGCCACTCTCAATGTATGTTTATTTATTTAGCTTAAATAACAGCAGATTTCCTTAATTCCTTAGGGCATATTTCCCTAACTTTGTTCATGTTAATTGGTAGCCACTATGAAAGAAAAGAGAAGAAAACAAAGGAATCATTGCATCATCTTATACCACTAGAAATGACAACTGCTAGGATACTCAGAAAGGTAAATTAATGTGGAGGCTAAGTACTTTAAATGGCGTCTTCACTAGTACAAAAGGTTTCCACACTCCCATGGCTAGGGTTAGAACCCATCTTACACCTTACCACACTCCTCTCAACAGACCCAAATCACTTTCCTTGCTCTATAACATAAAGGTGGATTAATGCAATAAGATGGACTGAGAATTGCTAAATTCAAATATCGATAATGAATGAGTTACATCACTTAAAATTTACACCGTAAATCAGCAAAATGAAAAAGCAAGTCAATGTTGCGGTAGGGTTGGTCTCTTTTCCAACTGGTCGTAATGAAGAACGAAATTATCCTGCAGGTAGAATATGGTCAGCAGCTGAAATTGGAGGAAAATAGTTGACTTACAAGAGAAAGTAAATGAGAATCGCAATAGACCGGGGTATACCTTGCGTACAGTCTCAAATGTGATTCGATCAAAACAGACATAAGAACCTCTCTCATATGTATTTGTCTTAGCTAGTGGCTCCACACTGGGGTCTTTTATGTACCATAACCGGTGTTCCTTGTGATAAAACCAGCCTCTATTATATCTGCTAACCAAAGGTGTTAAAAGTCTAAATTAACAAAGGAAACAAAGTCTAGGTGCATCTCAAAATAACAACTGAACACAATTAATTGGGTTGAGATAACTTACAGTTCATTTGCAGCATACAATTGGGCTTCATCCTTTGGCATGCTATATTGAAACAAACAACCAACAAATATATATGGCTAAGAGTCAGGTCAAAATAGATGATAATGAACAGAAGTTTAAAGATATGCACCTGTAGAATATGTAGAACAATGTATCCACTGTGAACTTTGAAAAGTATGCTTGCTGCAAACCATCCAAGATATCAGAACTATGGAAAAGAAGAAGAAGAAGAAGAAGAAATGTATAGATGCTTAATAAGAGCAATTCTTAGCATTGAGGGGAGGGCCGGGAGGCTAGGGAGAAGGGACCAGCTTACATGCAAGGGGGGCGGTTGTTTGGCATAATAACATTGTGGCACAGTAAACTCTGGATCACCCTTAGCAGGTTCTTCAGACCATGGAGAACCAAAAGTCTTGTGAAGATTTTCCGTTGAATTCAAATTCAACCCAAGTGTTGTCAGATCAATTCCAAGGGCAAGGGAAGTCAGATCAGCATCACTCATCCTTATCACACTTAACAAACCTAGTAAACCATATGGATCTGGAGATTGTGTACCCTGCATCGATTTCATGCTTGGATCTCGAAATGACTGATTGACAGCAGACATCTGCTGCAGACGGAACTGAGACTGGTTCTGCTGTTGTTGATACTGCTGCATAAACTGATCGTATCCAATGCCAGAAACTGTGTTTGGAGAATTTATTGGTCTTTGTGCAATGCCAGGTGGCCCACTGGTCTGAACCAAAGACAAAAAGTATGGGTTAGAGAGAAAAAAAAAATTAATGCCAAATAAGCTAGGAAACTTTCAGTCTCATCTCCATCACATGTCGAACCAATCTCTCAATTAATCTGAAGCACCTCAAATCAGTCCATCACTTTCCTCCCTAAACACACTTCTTGAAATATGCCTCAAGAGGGGCAATTTTGTTCCCCAGTAACAATAATGTAGGACAGAGCCAAACCATTTTTGTTTAAATGGATGAGAGCATATTTCCTACCACACTTTACAACCCTTAGTGACATTTGCACAAAACCATTTACGGCACCAGACTACCACATCTGAGTCGTAGCTCAAATGTGAAGATGGAAAAATATCTAAGCCATGTAAATGGAGAAGATCTTGGTTGTTTACAGGTGAAAAGGAGACACCACCACTACTGACCAAGGGAGCATGTTGCTGTTGCTGCTGTGGACGATGTGAAGAATAGGATCCTGCGAATCCGGCAGATCTACCCATCTGCACATGTTGCCAGTATTAAAATGAAAATCATAACACATGCAGCAGAAGTTATTTAAAGAAAAAAAAAAGGGAGGGGGTGGGTGGAAGAAATCCAGAGTCACCCAATTTTTTCAAAGTAGACTCACAGTGAAGTGATGAGATTGCATCATTGACATTGTATTGTCATGCAGTTGTTCTTTCTGGTGCAAATCCATTCCATAATCAGAATTACCACCTGCAGCAATAATATCATAACACACATCACACAGCAATCAGTGATGGATATCTAACTGTGTGGTAATTGAAGGAAAAATAATTACTATTAACTCTCCCTAAATCCTCTTGAAGGAAACAAGTAAATGATTATATCATAAACCATGTTAAAAGGAGCTCTATGCACCTTTATATCCTGGTAAAGCAGGGAAGTCTTCATTTTGAATGCTGAACTCTTGGTTTTGTTGAACAATGGGACTAACTCCAAGACCTTGTTTTCGTAATGAACCTGAAAATTAACTACTAAAACTATAACTCCATCAAGACAAGAGAGGACAAATTGAAGAGCTGAAAGGGGGAAACTACAGATTCTCCAATTACCTAATTGCCCTGGAAGTCCCCCAGCAGAACTAGGACGACTTGACAACTGAGGGAAATCATTGTTTATGTCAAATGGAGAATTGTCATTAGAGTTCACATCATTTAACATTCCCATAGAGCTCAGGTTGTTCACTGCTTGAACATGGCTATGGGAAAGAGGCCCCCCAGCACTAGGATATGAATTGCCCAACATTGAACTGACCTGTGGTGATCCTGAATCCAGAAACACAGTGCACGTGAATAAATGTAGCCAAAAGAGTAAATTTGCAATTAACTGATGTTGAAACATTGCTCCGTCAAGAAATAAACAAACATAAAACTTCTCCCACAACAAACTAGTGTCTAGTGAAAAGAATAACCTACGATGCTAACAAAAATAGATATCAGAACTGAACAAGTAATAACTTAATCTTTTCACATGCCCATAAAAAAATACAAGGTTAATAGTCAGAAAAATATACCTTGTGGAAGCATGCCGCTCATCAGCCGATTCTGTCCTTGTACACCTAAACTTCCAGATCCACTATTTGCAGTTAGATTTAGCCGAGATGCAAGACCAGAAACAGATAGTCCTCCAGCAGAATTTATGCTGCGGCCGATGTTGGCCCCACCAACCATGTTTCCCATAGAACTTGTTAACCTGGTACCTGCATTTCCCAAAATGGGGGATACTCCCAATCCTGGAACAGCATTCCGGTTACTGATTGCAGCAGTGTTTGAGAGAATCCCAGGAATAGAACCACCAACTCCATTTGTGTTACTACTAAATCCAGGGTTTCCTACAACACTAATACCTCCTCTATTTGTTACTCCAGAATGGGAGCTGCCATGTGATAACTGCAAGATGGACCCAGAAAACCCACAAAGAAGAAAAATGAAATATGAACATTTTACAAAACTACAAGATTTTTCATTCTTTATCTTCATTTTCTATGTTTTATCTCCATGAACATGCACCAAGCAGCAGCTGCTTGAAATGTGAATACATGCTTGGGCGAATGGGATGATAGAGCAAGTACTGGAAATTTATTTTGAAGCAATTACTATATGCTGGGCATATTAAAAGTACCTGAGAAAGAGCAACAGGAAGATTATTTGATGCAAATCTTCCACTAGAAAGGCTTCCAGTAGGTTGTTGAACCCCACCAGAAGGAATGTTATTCATTGTTGAGTTTCTTGATGACAGACTACCCGGCAAATTGGGAACATTAAAACTACCATGAATATTATGCAGACCTGGAATCGTACCTAAGGAAACAGGCCACAGATTGCATAAATTCATCAGAATTCAGAGTAGAGTGAAATTCTAGAAAAATCTACCCACCGGTATGATGGAAAACAGGGGAAGCTGCACCAGACTGACCAGAGAAAGATGTAGCAAAAGACCGCCCACTACTATCTTGAAGATTTGATGCTGATCCGTTGATAGAAGACTGCAATTTAAAGCACTTCAAAAGTAAACAGAAACTCCCACAATAAAAATGTAAATACCACCAGAAGAATAAAATGAAGACAATGTAAACCCAAATTTAAAAATTTTTTTTTTAAAAAAAAGCAGAAAATTGCAAATATTCACCACATGACACAAAAATTATTGGTTTTTTGAACCAGTTAACTTCTTATAATTCTTCCTTTAATATTGAAACCATGCAATTAGATCCAAGATGTTAAGTCTAGAACCAAAGACACAAATCTCTAATGTGCTTTCAAAAATGAGCAATTAAACTAAATTACAAACAGGTCCAAGAACCAAATGGACGAATTCGCATAAAATCCCAAGCATATTACCATGCAACATCATGCACTTCAATAGAATGCTACCTTTTTGAAAAAATACGCATGCCCATCAACCTATAAACAACAAAATTCATACTCTAATGGGCAAAAAATCAATGTGCAACAGCACATCCATGCTAACAGAATACTTTTACAAATTTATAGATCAACAACTTAGAAGGATCAATATATTGAAAATGAAATAATATTTTAGAATCAAAAACTAGTAATTCATAAGCAATCAACAAATCCAGGACAGCATTGAAGTTCAACAGTTAAATAAAGGACCGAGAAAGTTTCAAAATTGAATGCATTCTAGTTAATTGACAATACATTAAGTAACCCCGACATTGCACAAGTGTCAATAGATGCAAAAAATCATTCCTAGCTGAGAAGCAGTCCCTCTGTGTCTTGAATATCAATAGAAAAAATGCTGACTTGAAGAAGCTTTCACAGTGAATATCAACTTATACCCTGAAAAGCACAACAACATGGTTGTAAGAAATACATTCGACCCTACAGCTTGCAATCAAGCATACAACAGCACAGTCTGCACTACCCCAACAGATAAAACCATAAAATTCAAAATCGGGATTGAGAAAAATCAATACAAAGGACGTTCAACTTCTAAAAAGAAAGGTAAGATCGTGGAACGAAGGTGGTCAACTGAGTAAGATTGAAGATCGAAGTCCCGCGACGTAGAGATTGAGTGAGAATACCTGAGAGGCAGATCGGCGGAGGAGAAAGAGATCTCCCTTAGAGTAGTCAAAGAGAAATGAGTTCTTCTGTTTCTTGTTTTTTATTACCCTTTTTTTTCCACTGTTTTTGTCTTTCATTTTGCTGCAACTGTATGCCCTAAAATCTCATCGAGCGGAGGCAAGACGTGGCAGATGGCAGCAAAATTTGGTTTTGGGCATTTTTTTTTTTTAAGTTAAAACTCTATTTTGGTCATTGAACTATTATATGAACTCCCGATTTTGTTCTTAAACTAAAAAAATTCTTGATTTAATTCCTACTATTTACCATTTTACCTTGATTTTGTCTTTCCGTTAAAAATCTTGTAACGTAACCTGTTACTTCACGGTTACAAGATCACATGTCAAATATTAATACACATGGAAGACAATATGACAAAAAAGTGATGATATGAAAAAAATAATAATATAAAAAAACATTATGAAAAATAAAACATTAAAAAAAAAAATTTTCTTATTCCCTTTCTCTTTCCCCTTCCCCTTCCCCTTCTCTTTCCCTTTGGGGCAACACACCTAAGTTCACAAGGAATGTGAACCCAGGCGCGTTGGGTTTCATCAAACCCAGGGACAAAAAATTAAAAAAAAAAAAAAGGCAGAATACCCAAATCCACCATCGAACAAAAAATGTGGACAAATCCACCCACAAAATTTTTAACTTAGATAAATCACCCCAAATTTAACGTGTGACGTCATTTGACATCAGCAATCTGTTAATTTGACGTCATCTGACGTCAACAATCCGTTAACGAATTAACGGATTGTTGATATTAGATGATGTCATACGTTAAATTTGGGGTGATTTATCCAAGTCAAAAACTTTATGGGTGGATTTGTCTCCTTTTTTGTTCGGGGGTGGATCTGTCCTGCCACTATACTTTAGAGGTGGATTTCGGTATTTTGCCAAAAAAAAAATCTTTTTTTTTTTTTTTTGGGTTTCATTGTTTGATGGTGATGAAAAATTGATTGATGAAGATGAAGAAGGCAAAGCAAGGTAGCCACAAGGTTCTTGCAGGCACTAGGTTCA